GTCACGTTTACTGTTAGCCAGCTAATGCTAGCTTCAGACTGGAGGCTGCAGTTTGTACAGTTTGTCCCAACCAGGCATCTGTAGTTCACATTGTAGCTTCAGGAGACAGGACGTGATGGGAGGGAGAGGTTTATGGTGTCAGTTTGTTTGGAGTCTCACTGGACCCTCGAGGCCGTAGAGACATGAGGGCGGAGCAGCTTTAAATCCTCTGTAAAGACCCTCTGTCCAGTGTCTTTCTGTCCCTCACAGGCAGAAACCTGTAAACTTGTCTTCTTCATGTACACCTGTTGCCTGTGCACCTGTACAGAATTAACAATGTTGAATGCATACAAAAACTTCGGCTGATTTGACCTGAGCCAAAGTCACAGACACAAACAAAAAGGTTTCATTAGAAATACAACATTAATTTTATTAGCAAGCACTTTAGTTCAGAGGTTATTTTAAAAAATAAATAAGATAAATCAGGAAAACAATCAATCACAGAGCAGCTCTGTTTGTTTTGCGGCTGGGCAGCAAGTGTGTGGGTTGTATTTTGTCAGATTTGATGGTGCTAGACTAACAGTTTCCCTCTGCTTCCAGTCTTTGTGCTAGCCTAGGCTAAACACAACATGTCAAAACTGGGCTCTGGACCTGTCAACTAATCAGTTAATCAAGAAACTAAGTTGCCGATGAACCAATAATACAGTGTTAGTTGCAGCCCTATTTAACAGCAGGTGTGTGTGACGTGGAGCCATTTAACATGTGTGAAGATGAGTGCAGCCCTTAAGCCCAGCGTTTATTCATTAAGCTGCCAAGAATGTGATAAAATCCAAGCTCTCGTTTCCCAAAAAGACCTCAGGTTAAAAAGTGTTGTCCACAAGGTCCAGGTGAGGTGTCACTTAGTGTCCAGACCAGCCACATTCAGTTCAGCCTCAGTGCTGTGTCCTGCTCAGTAAAGTAATAAAGAGAGTAAAATGAGCTATCCTTTCATAAACTAAATACATCCTGTCTTATGTCAGCCAGTGTAAACCTTTTTTGAAAGTTGACGGGGCATTTGACAAATCTGGATGACAGCTCCACCTGCTGGCAATAGAACAAAGCCTGGTTTTCTAAATAACTTAGAATTTAAATTCTGGATTAATTCGACATAGAAATCCTCAACTGCTGCTGTGATTTAACATGATTCTGCAGTTTCAGCTCCTTGAGCATCTGTTTTATGCAACTTATTAGATTAAAATGTGATACGATAAAACGCTGTGCTAAAGTTTGAAAAACGAATGAGAAACTTTATGAGATATAAAGGTCAAAATTGAGATACCATGTTAAATCTTTGACTCTAAAGTGAAAAGTGAAATTTAATCTTAGCATTAAATATTTTTGAGAATTTAAAAAATTAGCTTTAATAACTCCAGATTCTGAGTTATGAACTGAAACGCCTTAAAGTTAATGTTACATGATTTTCATCATTGCCTCTTTCTTCTATTGTCAGCACAAAACCTCAGTGGAGTGCTTTAGTAACAAAGAACAAGCAGGCTGCACGAATCCACCTTATGTGTGAAGAGTGGAGGCGACATCTATCGGTTGGTCTGGAGGTAGAGACGAACCTGATTGGCTGTATTAGGACCCTGTTGGCTAAATTAGCTTAGCACTGAGCTAATTGAGAGAGAGAGAGACAGGAGCATTTAATTCAACTTCCTGTCCGAGCTCCACTCTGTAAACATAAAGCCTCAGTCAGACCCGGGTCAAACAGCAGCTGTTTGCATTGGTTTACATCACCCTGTAGTCCCAGGCGGGTGGAGTAGGGAAATATTGCAGTGGGTTTCTTTGTGAAGACATGTTTGATCAGGGTCTGATGGTGGTGACTATGATCAGACCTGGAGCCCTCAGGAATTTCTGCAAATATTCTCCTGATGGGTTTTACTGCTGAGACAGTCGCCAGGAAAAAATACAAATTGTTTTCATTATTAAATATGGATGATCTGAAACCTAAACAGATACATTAACAGTCTGGTTCTTTTAAATCCAGCAGCGCGAATGACTTGCAAGAACTTCATGAGGCCAGTCCAAATGTGACGCAGATTCTTTGATCAGGTGAAAGTTAAAGCTGCACAGAAACACAGAAGCGGAAGCAGAGAAAAAAATAAAGCCACAGAGAGGAAGAAGAAAGTCAATTCAACAGCTTCTCTCTGATCAAGCATCTCCAGACCCAGACTCTATGTCCTAATGCACAAACAGGATCCAGGCAGTCCAGCATCAGTCGGTCCAGCTGGTTGTGCTACACTTCGCAACCAGTGTGATTTTCTTTTTTTCCTTTCTCATTTCTTGCATGCGTTTTCCAGTAGACTGGCGACCTGTCCAGGGTGTACCCTGCCTTTCGCCCAGTGCCAGCTGGGATTGCCCCCCCCCCAACCCTCTTCAGGATAAGCGGTGTACAGAATGAATGGATGGAAGGATGTTTTCCAGTTTGGTCACGTGTCACGTTTTGTTTTCTTTATTAACGCAGTGATCCACAGGGAATGAGCCAGGGTCAGAGGATGGTTCATGCAGTGGGAGGACGTGCAGGTGTAAATAAAGTTCGATAAAGACAAGCAGCAGAGACTGAAACAGCAAAGTGATTATCAAAACAGTTAACTAAACGATTGACTGACTTAATCAAGAATGGAAAAACTGTATTTACACTATAGTGAGACATTTTTGTCTGTTAATATTTAAATAGTTTTGTTACAAGTTCAGTTCATGAACATGGAATTTAATCTTAATTTTTAAATTAGATTTCACCTGATGTAAGTGGCCTCATTACCAAACATGATGAGAAATAATTCTGAGACAATCGCACTGGAGATGTTCTTTCAGAGACAGATGCACAAACTGCTGCAGCTTCTTTTGTTGCTCCTTAAAACTCCCTCAATTCCTCACTGCAATCCTGGGATCTGTTTGCTTTAAAGGTCTCAGGTTTAAGTCCATCAGACCTCCCGGTTCGCCTCTTAAATAGACCATCGAGAGCCCTGCGTGAAAACAGGAGGTCCTCCAGAACCTCGCCACCACAGGCCAATCTGCCGACGGATGGAACATGAGAGCGTGGCTCCAGGTGAAGATGAAGGTGGAGCTGATGGGCAGTTTCCCTCACTGACATCAGGGCTACCAGTGGTGGTTCTTAGACAGGTAGGCTATGAGCGCCACAGCCACGCCCACATAGATACCTGTCCCGATTGTAATTGACAACACGGCCAGGAAAAGAGCCCGCCTTGAACTGGAGCTGGCCAGGTGGAAGTCTCCTTTAGACACCGCCTTGTTGGTCTGAGCACAGGGGAAGGTGAAGAAAAGACAATCAGAGGTGGACGTTAGCTTTCACAACAACAACAGACAAACATGAAGGTCTGTGACAAACAGGGAAACCAGACATTGTTCTGACTTGGGACTGTTGATACATTAATCCAGTTGTTAGCCCGCATGCTAACATGCTAGCATCAGATAAAATAAATGAGCTTCTTTTGTCCAAATGAAACCACATGTAGCTTCTATAAAAGGAGCTGAATACATCATTTTAGTGGCAAATTCAGGATTTATTCTGTTGATAGAAATGAAGAAAACCACGTGGCTGATGGCATCCGAAGCTTCTCACGGCCCTGCTGCTTCAGAAGGAGCTGCAGCTAAAGTGGAGATCTTAGTCGGCACGGTGGTTAGCGCTGTTGCCTCACAGTGAGCAGCTTCTGGGTTCGAGCCCTGGCCGACCTGGGGCCTTTCTGTGTGGAATTTGCATCTTCTCGTGCTTGCGTGGGTTCTCTCTGGGTGCTCCGGCTTCCTCCCACAGTCCGAAGACATGCAGCATAGGTTGATTGGTGTCTCTAAATTGCCCGTGTGTGTGAGGTTGTTCATATCTGTGTGTTAGCCCTGCGATGGACTGGCCCCCTGTCCAGGGTGTACCCTGCCTCTTGCCCGCAGCTGGCTGGGATTGGCTCCAGCCCCCTGTGACCCTGTTTGGGACTAAGCGGTTTAGAAAATGGATGGATGGAATCATGGAGGAAGAACGTTTCTGTACGTTTCCTGCTCACTAAAAGTAAAAGCATCATTTAATAGTACCTGTATTGACAACATTGTGCCCACCTACAGTGCCTTGCAAAAGTATTCGGCCCCCTTGAACTTTGCGACCTTTTGCCACATTTCAGGCTTCAAACATAAAGATATAAAACTGTAATTTTTTGTGAAGAATCAACAACAAGTGGGACACAATCATGAAGTGGAACGAAATTTATTGGATATGTCAAACTTTTTTAACAAATAAAAAAACTGAAAAATTGGGCGTGCAAAATTATTCAGCCCCCTTAAGTTAATACTTTGTAGCGCCACCTTTTGCTGCGATTACAGCTGTAAGTCGCTTGGGGTATGTCTCTATCAGTTTTGCACATCGAGAGACGGAAATTTTTGCCCATTCCTCCTTGCAAAACAGCTCGAGCTCAGTGAGGTTGGATAGAGAGCGTTTGTGAACAGCAGTTTTCAGTTCTTTCCACAGATTCTCAATTGGATTCAGGTCTGGACTTTGACTTGGCCATTCTAACACCTGGATATGTGTATTTGTGAACCATTCCATTGTAGATTTTGCTTTATGTTTTGGATCAGTGTCTTGTTGGAAGACAAATCTCCGTCCCAGTCTCAGGTCTTTTGCAGACTCCATCAGGTTTCCTTCCAGAATGGTCCTGTATTTGGCTCCATCCATCTTCCCATCAATTTTAACCATCTTCCCGGTCCCTGCTGAAGAAAAGCAGGCCCAAACCAGGATGCTGCCACCACCATGTTTGACAGTGGGGATGGTGTGTTCAGGGTGATGAGCTGTGTTGCTTTTACGCCAAACATAACGTTTTGCATTGTTGCCAAAAAGTTCGATTTTGGTTTCATCTGACCAGAGCACCTTCTTCCACATGTTTGGTGTGTCTCCCAGGTGGCTTGTGGCAAACTTTAAACGACACTTTTTATGGATATCTTTAAGAAATGGCTTTCTTCTTGCCACTCTTCCATAAAGGCCAGATTTGTGCAGTATACGACTGATTGTTGTCCTATGGACAGAGTCTCCCACCTCAGCTGTAGATCTCTGCAGTTCATCCAGAGTGATCATGGGCCTCTTGGCTGCATCTCTGATCAGTCTTCTCCTTGTATGAGCTGAAAGTTTAGAGGGACGGCCAGGTCTTGGTAGATTTGCAGTGGTCTGATACTCCTTCCATTTCAATATTATCGCTTGCACAGTGCTCCTTGGGATGTTTAAAGCTTGGGAAATCTTTTTGTATCCAAATCCGGCTTTAAACTTCTCCACAACAGTATCTCGGACCTGCCTGGTGTGTTCCTTGTTCTTCATGATGCTCTCTGCGCTTTAAACAGACCTCTGAGACTATCACAGTGCAGGTGCATTTATACGGAGACTTGATTACACACAGGTGGATTCTATTTATCATCATTAGTCATTTAGGTCAACATTGGATCATTCAGAGATCCTCACTGAACTTCTGGAGAGAGTTTGCTGCACTGAAAGTAAAGGGGCTGAATAATTTTGCACGCCCAATTATTCAGTTTTTTATTTGTTAAAAAAGTTTGAAATATCCAATAAATTTCATTCCACTTCATGATTGTGTCCCACTTGTTGTTGATTCTTCACAAAAAATTACAGTTTTATATCTTTATGTTTGAAGCCTGAAATGTGGCAAAAGGTCGCAAAGTTCAAGGGGGCCGAATACTTTCGCAAGGCACTGTAAAAATTACTGCAGGTAGTGCAATGTAGGCCTAACTTCACAAAGGTTTATTCAGCTACTGTACAATGCTGACAAAATACTAAAGTACAGCTAAAGCTTATATATGTAAGGCTCCTGACAAAGGATCTCCCAGTTCTCCCAGGTCATTTTTCACAGAAACACCTTTTTATATTACAGTCCACACCAACAACACAGTAGTTTTGGAAAATAACTAAGTACATTTACT